TGGTGCTAGAACAAAATTTAGATACACGTTTTTAAATTGTTGACTTTAAATAAAATATGCATTCTCAAAGAAAACATTTAAAAACAAATTAATTCAATTTATTTCTTGTGAAATAACAGCAAAATGAAATAGGTACATTGATTACTTATAGTTATTTACGAATGTTTCTAAATTAGAAGCTTTCGGTTTTTGTTTGCTACATTTAAGTTCTTATTAATATTCTTTAAGGTATACAATTCTAATCTTTTATGTATAATTTTAAATAAAAATACATTTATGCAGGGAAAATTTTGATTGATGGTTGAATTTAATTGTCTGAAATAATTTAACGAATTTTACATATTATATTTTCATTTAAGGAAAGTTCTTCAAACCAAAACTATAACCACCAAAAAACCAAAGAATAAAATAAAAAAAAAAAAAAAAAACTTTTTATTAAGTGAACTTATAACGTCACGCTAATAATAATTTAATATTATATACAAGTTTTGTCGTGAGATTTGAGTGTACAGTTGCACCCATAAAAATCTGGTACGACAATTTTATCTTGTAATTCCTGGTCTAGTGGTCTATCATAACACAAACTTTGAAAATGAGACAGGGTAGGCACAGGTTTTAGTTAATTTACTTTTTTATCGATGTAGAGAAATCTCGCGACAAGCTTTATATATCTAATATTAAAAATTGTGTAACGACGTTCTAAGTTCATAATAAAAGTTTTAAAGGAAAAAGTTTTTTTTTCTTTTTAATGTATTTAAATAAAACCTTGTTTTTAAAAAGTTTTTTTCTTAAATTTATTTTTTACTTTTTAGTTATGCTGGTTTCTCAGTGCCACACAGTTAAACTCAATTCTTTTTCTTAAATTACTTCCTATGGGCATCCTAATAATATGTATATCGATTTTAATTAAAAAAGGAGAACTTAAAAAAAACGACAGCTGTCAAATTTGACAGTTCAAATGTGAGACAAATAAAATGATAACCGACTATGGGGTAGGGAGCATCCATATATCGATTTTTATCAAAATCGGACAACTTTGAGATTTTTTTGACAGCTGTCAAATTTGACAGCTCAATTTTTTTCTTTAATTTAGCCCATGGCCATCCTATATATAGATCTTTATCAAAATCAGACAACTTTGAAATTTTTTTGACAGCTGTCAAATTTGACAGCTCCATTTTTTTCTTTCATTTTAGCCCATGGCCGTTCTATATATCGATTTTTATCAAAATCGGATAACTTTAAAAAAATTTTGACAGCTGTCAAAAATTCGGGTCATGCCTTGCAAGAAAATGTATTGTCATCGAGACTGAACCTACATGCCAAATTTCAATTTCCTACAATGAAAGGAAGTGCTTCTAAAGATTTGCCCCGAACAAACATACATATACAAAGCAAGTTAAATAAAAGCCTTAAGCTTGTAAAATAAGCTAGGGACTGCTTTCCATTGGTAGAGATACCTCTTACCATAACAACATTAGACACCCGAACTGATTTTAACTCTCTGTTCCCCTTCTAGTCCTCAAAACCTACAATATTATCACGACCACTATTATAAAATAAATTGCACTTGATGATATTATTATTATATTATGATGAATATTAACAAAATTTGCTATGTCCATTGATGGACATAATTTGTACGTAGCCTCTTTAGATTGTTCAATAGATATTTTATTGGGTATTTCTTTAATTCTTGTTTGTAACTCTGGCATGTTTTTTAATTTTAATCGTCTGTTCTCTACAGTTATGTGTTTAATTGATTTTTTCATTGTTACTTTTCGAGGGGTATGCGCGGTTAACGATTCATTTGTTTAGATAAAAGTATTGTATAAATAAAATTCAGTTTCAGTCAATTACAGTATTTTTTTAATACGACCCTGTCTATCAATAGTTTATTTTCTGGGAAATTTTTTGATACGTTTTAATCCGGCCCTGACTCCGCACCCATAATGGTGTTTTCAAGGTCAAATTTTATAGAAATTTAAAACAATGGGATCTGGGCAGAGTTAGCCTGCCGTGTGATTTATATGCCGTGGTTAACGTATGTAACATTGCTCAATAAGCTTACGTACCGGGTGGCCAACTAAGAATGGACGCCGGCTGTGTCTCAGAAACTACTTATCGTATAACTTGGGGAAAAAAATTCTAATAAGTAAATCGACAAAAAATAAATCGGGTTCGAAAAATGCCCGCTATGGGGCGTTTCTCTAATAGCCAATTAGAAAACAGGATTTTTCTCAAAAATATGCAGGTGAACAGGTATTTTAAATATTACTGTTGTAATAATCGAGAAATTTGTAGTTTTTTTGATATAAAGTATTTTGCTCTATCTCATAAAATAAAATGGTGGGGGAAGGTTAAACTTGCTTTTATTAAAATAAGGATAACTCTGGTTTAAGTTAAAAAATTTAAACAAACTAGGGCTCGTTTAAAAGAGCTTTTGTTCCTTAATGACATCCAGTATAAATTTTGTTTCCACAATTTTTTTCGTGGTAGCTAGAGGGCGCTGTTTGACATCATAACAGATATTGCACTTTTGCGTAAAAAAATTAAATAGGAGGCTATATTTC